TAAGTTGGATGTTGGTAGTAAGTTGGATGTTGGTAGTAAGTTGAATGTTGGTAGTAAGTTGAATGTTGGTAGCAAGTTGAATGTTGGTAGCAAGTTGAATGTTGGTAGCAAGTTGAATGTTGGTAGCAAGTTGAATGTTGGTAGCAAGTTGAATGTTGGTAGAGTTGATGTTGGTAGCAAGTTGAATGTTGGTAGCAAGTTGAATGTTGGTAGCAAGTTGAATGTTGGTAGTAAGTTGAATGTTGGTTATGTTGGTAGCAAGTTGAATGTTGGTAGCAAGTTGAATGTTGGTTATGTTGGTAGCAAGTTGAATGTTGTTAGCAAGTTGAATGTTGGTTATGTTGGTAGCAAGTTGAATAATTTTGGTTATGTTGGTAGTAAGTTGAATGTTCGTTATGTTGGTAGCAAGTTGAATAATGTTGGTAGTAAGTTGAATAATGTTGGTAGTTGAATGTGGTGAAGTTAATTGTTGGTAGTAAGTTGAAGAATGTTGGTAGTAGTTGAAGATGTGGTAAGTAAATGTTGGTAGTAAGTTGAAGAATGTTGGTAGTAAGTTGAAGAATGTTGGTAGTAAGTTGAAGAATGTTGGTAGTAAGTTGAAGAATGTTGGTAGTAAGTTGAATAATGTTGGTAGTAAGTTGAATAATGTTAGTAGTAAGTTGAATAATGTTAGTAGTAAGTTGAATAATGTTGGTAGTAAGTTGAAGAATGTTGGTAGTAAGTTGAATAATGTTGGTAGTAAGTTGAATAATGTTGGTAGTAAGTTGAATAATGTTGGTAGTAAGTTGAATAATGTTGGTAGTAAGTTGAAGAATGTTGGACCACAAGTCTTGACACTGCTTAACACACACTTCTTCGCTTAACACTGTTATTTTGGTTGACCCTGTTTTTTTGTTGACTGTTTTTGGTTGACACTTTGATTTACAGTTTTTTTGCTTGGCAGTGTTTTGGTTGACACTTTTTTTGGTTGTATGATTTTGGTTGACATTGCTTTTGGTTGTCACTTTTTTTGGTTGAAACTGATTTTTGGTTGACAGCTTTTTACTTTTTGGTTACATTGTTTTTTGGTTGAATGTTTTGTGGTTCACCTTTTTTTAGGTGAGTGTTTTTGGTTAACATTGTTTTTGGTTAACATTGTTTTTGGTTAACATTGTTTTTGGTTAACATTGTTTTTGGTTAACATTGTTTTTGGTTAACATTGTTTTTGGTTAACATTGTTTTTGGTTAACATTGTTTTGGTTAACATTGTTTTGGGTTAACATTGTTTTGGGTTAATATTGTTTTTGGTTAACATGGTTTTTGGTTAACATGGTTTTTGGTTAACATGGTTTTTGGTTAACATGGTTTTTGGTTAACATGGTTTTTGGTTAACATTGTTTTTGGTTAACATGGTTTTTGGTTAACATTGTTTTTGGTTAACATGGTTTTTGGTTAACATTGTTTTTGTTTAACATTGTTTTTGGTTAATATGGTTTTTGGTTAACATGGTTTTTGGTTAACATGGTTTTTGGTTAACATTGTTTTTGTTTAACATTGTTTTTGGTTAACATTGTTTTTGGTTAACATTGTTTTTGGTTAACATGGTTTTTGGTTAACATGGTTTTTGGTTAACATGGTTTTTGGTTAACATGGTTTTTGGTTAACATGGTTTTTGGTTAACTTGGTTTTTGGTTAACATTGTTTTTGGTTAACATGGTTTTTGGTTAACATGGTTTTTGGTTAACATGTTTTTGGTTAACATTGTTTTTGGTTAACATTGTTTTTGGTTAACATTGTTTTTGGTTAACATTGTTTTTGGTTAACATTGTTTTTGGTTAACATTGTTTTTGGTTAACATTGTTTTTGGTTAACATTGTTTTTGGTTAACATTGTTTTTGGTTAACATTGTTTTTGGTTAACATTGTTTTTGGTTAACATTGTTTTTGGTTAACATTGTTTTTGGTTAACATTGTTTTTGGTTAACATGTTTTTGGTTAACATGGTTTTTGGTTAACATGGTTTTTGGTTAACATGGTTTTTGGTTAACATGGTTTTTGGTTAACATGGTTTTTGGTTAACATGGTTTTTGGTTAACATGGTTTTTGGTTAACATGGTTTTTGGTTAACATGGTTTTTGGTTAACATGGTTTTTGGTTAACATGGTTTTTGGTTAACATGGTTTTTGGTTAACATGGTTTTTGGTTAACATGGTTTTTGGTTAACATGGTTTTTGGTTAACATGGTTTTTGGTTAACATGGTTTTTTGGTTAACATGGTTTTTTGGTTAACATTGTTTTTGGTTAACATTGTTTTTGGTTAACATTGTTTTTGGTTAACATTGTTTTTGGTTAACATTGTTTTTGGTTAACATTGTTTTTGGTTAACATTGTTTTTGGTTAACATTGTTTTTGGTTAACATTGTTTTTGGTTAACATGGTTTTTTGGTTAACATTTTTTTTGTTGACACTGCTTTATGATTGACAGTGTTTTCTGGTCGACCGTGCTTTCTGGTTGACACTTTTGATTTACATAGTTTTTTGGTTGACAGTATTTGTGTTTGACATTGTTTTTTATTGACATTTGTTTGGTTGACAGTGTTTTTGGTTGGCACTGTTTTTTGATTGTATGATTTTAGTTGACATTATTTTTGGGTTGACAGTTTTCAGGTTGACACTTTCCTGGTTGACAGTGCATTTTTGGTTGTCACTGTTTTTTGGTTGCCACAGTATTTGTATTGTTCCCATCACTGTGTTCTTCAATTTTCT